AGGTTTCCCCGTCTCTGAAATGGGCCTATTCAGAACCCTATTTCCAAAGTCTGACCTGAAGAGTCAGCAAAACAAAGGAGGGAAGCCCGAGGGCAGGTAAACGAGAATGCTCTTCCTTTCTGTTTGTAGCTGGACCAAGGGGTCCCAGTGGCCTGCGCAAAGGGTCTTAGTGGGTTGAGACCAGGAGTTTTCACCTGAGGGCGAGTCTGGCCTCCGGGGGACATGTGGCAAAGGCTGGAGACATTTTAGTTTAATGACTGAGGAGGTGCTACTGGCTACTAGTAGACAGAGGATTATCTGGTCCTAAATGTCAACAGTGCCAAGATTGGGAAACCCTGCGTTCCCAACGAGGTGATCACCTCCAAGGGAGCAAACGCTGGTTCTTGGGTGGATGTGTGAGGGGGGGAAAAAAAACACCAAAAAACCCTTACATTTATATATAAAGCCCAAATATACACATAGTACATAAACAGATTTACAACACAGGCATACCTCGCTTCATTACGTCTCACAAAAACTGCATTTTTTACAAATCGCCTCCGCGTTGAGCAAGTCCCTCGGCACCATTTTCCCAACAGCATTTGCTCACTTTGTTTCTGTGTGTCACATTTTGGTAGTTCTGGCAACCTTTCAAGCGTTTTCGTTGTTTTTATTATTTTATTAGGGTCACGTGTGATCAACTTGATGTGACCAGTGTAATCATTTTGGGGCACCACGAACCGGGCCCCTATAAGTCGGCAAACGAAATCCACGAATGCTGTGTGTATGTTCTAACAGCTCCACCAACCAGTTTTTTCCCCCTTCTCTCCCTTTCCTTGCGCCTCCCTATGCTCTAAGAATGATTAAACTTAATGAGGAAGGCATGTTGGAAGCTGAGACAGGCCGGAAGCTAGGCCTCTTGGACCAGTGAGCCAAGTTGTGAAGGCAAAGGAGAAGCCTTGAAGGAAATTAAAGGTGCCACTCCAGCGAACACAGGAGTGATAAGAAAGCAAAACGGCATTTTTGCTGATTTGGAGAAAGTTTGGTCTAGATAGAAGATCAAACCAGCCACAACACTCCCTTAAGCCAAAGCCTCATCCAGAGCGAGGCCCTCACTGTCTTCAGTTCTGTAGAGGCTGAGGGAGGTGAGGAAGCTGCAGGAGCCGAGTCTGAAGCTAGCAGAGGTTGGTTCATGGGGTTTAAGGAAAGGAGACGTCTCTATTACATAAAAGTGCAAGGTGCTGATATAGAAGCTGCAGCAAGTTATCCAGAAGCTCGACATAAGATGATTAATGAAGGTGGCCACACTAAACACATTTTCAGTGTAGACAAAGCAGCCATCCAGGACTTTCATAGCTAGAGAGGAGAAGTCAATGCCTGGCTTCAAAGGACAGGCTGCATCTCTCTTGTTAGGGGCCAGTGCAGTTGGTGACTTTAAGTTAAAGCCATTGCTCATTTGTCATCCTGAAAATCCTAGGGCCCTTAAGAATTAGGCTACACCTAGTCGGTCTGCTCTGTAAACAGAACAACAAAGCCTGGGTGACAGCACATCGGTTTATAACATGGTTTACTGAATATTTTAAACCCACTGTTGAGACCTGCTGCTCAAAAAAAAAAAAAAAAGGATTCCTTTCAAAATATGACTGTTCATTGACAATGCGCCTGGCCACTGACGATCTCAGACGGAGATGTACAATGAGATTAATGTTTTCATGCCTGCTGACACCACGTCTATTCTGCAGCCCACGGATTAAGGAGTCATTTTTACTATCAAGTCTTATTATTTGAGAAATACATTTCGTGAAGCCATAGCTGCCGCAGACCCTGACTCCTCTGATGGATCCGGGCAAAAGAAATTGAAAACCTTCTGGAAAGGACTCACCATCCTCGATGCCATTCTGAACATTCTGACTCATGGGAAGGGGTCAAAACGTGAGCAGGAACAGGGGTTTGGGAGAAGTGAAGTGGCTGTGAAGATTGTTGAAATGACAAGGCTTTAGAATAGGACATAAAGTTAGATGATAAAGCAGCAGCAGGGGTTGAGAGGATTGACTTCCATTTTGAAAGAAGTTCTACCAGGGCACCTGGGAGGCTCAGGCAGTTAAGCGGCTGCCTTCGGCTCAGGTCATGATCCTGGGGTCTTGGGATCAAGCCCCACATCCGGCTCCCTGCTCGGCAGAGAGCCTGCTTCTCCATCTGCCTGCCACTCTGCCTACTTGTGCTCTCTCTCTCTCTCTCTCTCTGTCAAATAAATAAAATCTTAAAAAAAAAAAAAAAGACAAAAGAAAGAAGTTCTAACCTGGGTAAAATGCTCCAGAGAAACTGCTCCTAAGAGGAAGACCCAATCCATGTGGCGAACTTCACTGTTTTCTTATTTTAAGAAGTCCCCACAACCACCCTGATCGGTCAGCAGCCATCAATATCGAGGCAAGACCCTGCACCAGCAAAGATTATGACTCGCTGAAAGCTCAGATGGTGGTCAGCATTTTTTAGCAATAAAGCGTTTTTAAATTAAGGTATGTACACTTTTTTAGACATAATGCTATTGCACACTTAATAGACTACGGTGTCATGTGAACATGGCTTTTATGTGCCCTGGGAAACCACAAAATTCATTTGGCTCGCTTTGTTGGGATGTTGACTTTATTGCAATGGTCTGGAATGGAACCTGCAGTATCTCTGAGGTATGCCTGTTTATAATCAGGCTATTCCTCTGGGTGGGGAGGGGATAATGAAATAAAGGGTGGCAAACACTGGTATAGAGCCTGGCTCAGACACTCACTGGCTGTGTGACCTTGAGCATGTTGTTTCTTGCCAAGAGTCAGTTTTCCCATCTGTAAAATAGGGACAACAGTATATCACTTTGCAGGTCTTTTGTGAGAATTAAAAGAGATCAGAGATAGAGGTGCTGAATGTCCAGGTTAGCTATCATTGTCATCATCTTCTTCATCTTCATCATCTGTGTTCTCTGGCTAGTATAGTGGCTTGCATATTATAAGCTCTCCAAAATAGGTTTTGTCAGATAATCATAGCTAATATTCAGTGAGTGCTTTGCTGTGTCCAAACGCTTTTCCAAGCCTTTTTTTTTTTTTTAACATGTCCATCCATGAGATGCATAGTATTATTATGCCAATTTTACAGGTGGGAAAACTGAGGCTCGATGAAATGAAGTGACTGGCCCAAAGTCAAATGACTAAGAAGTGCTAGAGGCCAGACTTAAGCCTAGGCCAGCCAATTTGGGGACCCATGACAACGGAGCCAACAGGTAGAGAGAGAAAGGTATTTACAGAGGCAGGGCCCTAAAATAGGGATTCACTCCATTTTTCTTATTTATTTATTTATTTATATTATTATTATTTTTTAATTTTTATTTATTTGACAGAGAGAGAGATGGCGAGAGAGGGAACACAAGCAGGGGGAGTGGGAGAGGGAGAAGCAGGCTTCCCGTGGAGCAGGGAGCCCGACGTGGGGCTCGATCCTAGGACCCTGGGATCATGACCTGAGCTGAAGGCAGACGCTTAACAACTGAGCCACCCAGGCACCCCATTTTTCTTATTTAAAACAAGCTTCTCCCACTTCCTAACCCCAAACAGCCACAGACAGTTTGGGGTAGTCTCTGGAATTATAACCAGCTGGCTAACTTTTTTCTAGAATCTTCACCTCCTCAGTCTCCCTTTCTTCATCTGTGAAAGGGGATCATGTGCCCCCCACAGAGTCACAGTGGCTGGGCATGCAGAGTCTCCAGAAAGTCCCTATCTGCTTTTACTGCTCTGCCCAGGGGAGGTCAGCTTCTTGGGGCCACCTCATGAGCTGTGGAGGGCCCCAATTCTAAGATACCTCAGAGATTCTAAGGAGTGGGGGAATCTTAGTGTCTAGGGGCTGTGAGCACACTCAGCGTCTAGGGGTATCTCAGAGTTATAAGGCATGTCTCAGAAGCTGTGAGGGGGCATTCTGGAGGTGTCCCCAAAGATTGTGGGTTCATCTTGGTTTTGGAAGGTAGCCTAGGGTTATAGGACTGTCTTAGGAACTGTGGAGGAATCTAGTTTTGTCCCTGGGGTCTGTGGGGCACCCTAGGATTTGGGGGGCAGCTACATATTTATGGGAACACCCCTTGAGTCTGAAGACACCCCCAAGGTTATTTTGGTGTCTCTGAACTTGTGGGGGCATCTAAGCGATGCTGTGGAGCCACTCGGGCGTTGGGGGACATCTGAGGGACTGTGAAAGCATTCTTAGGATCTGTGAGGGGTCCTAGAATTTGGGGGTGCCCTCATGCAGTCTGTAGGAATACTCTGTGGCTGTGGGAAATTCTAGGGGTGCTCTGGGGATCTCTGCCTGACTCGGGGGTGGTGGGGATGCTCTAGGAGACTTGGGGGACATCTGAGGAAACCTGGTGATGGTCCTGGGATCTGAAGGAGTTTCATTTGCGGGTGCATCCTGAGAGTCTTGGGGTGCCTCTGGGGTTTGTGGGAATATATCAGTAACAACGAGGACACTAGTAGGGGACATTTGGGAAGCTAAGGGATTGTCCCAGAGTCTGTGGGGCCTCTCAGAGCACCTCTGGCTTTTGGGGGGAACTCTGGGATTTGGGGGCACCTCTGGGTTCTGTGGGAACACCTCAGGGATAGTTGGGACACTCCCTGGAATTGTGGGGACATCTGAGGGACTTTGGGGACGCCACTGAGGTTTGTGAGAGCCACAGAGGTTTGTGAGAGCACCCCAGGGATTTGGGGAGCACCCCAGATGTTTGTAGAGACGCTTCCGGCGATTGTAAGGACCTCAAGGGGACTGCGGGTGCCCCTGCGGTCTGAGGGGTGTCCCGCCGCAGCCGCGTGGGCGCCCCGGGCCCGCTCCGCCCCGGGGGCGGCCCCAGAGCGAAGCCGGAAGGGCCGAGGCGGCCGGGCGGGGTGGGGCCCGTGGGCCCCAGGGCTGGGCGGCCGGCCTGCGTGGGCTGCGCGGGCCGGGCGGGCGGCTCTGCTCCCCAGCGCCCACCGAGGCGGGGCCGCCCCGCGCCCCCTGTGGTTATGGCGCGGCCACGAGGCCTGGGCCGCATCCCCGAACTGCAGCTGGCGGCCTTCCCGGCGGTGGCGGCTGCAGAGGACGAGGCGTTCCTGCCTGAACCACCGCTCCCGCGCGCACCCCGCCGCCCACGGTCGCCACCCTCCTCGCCGGTCTTCTTCGCCATCCCGTCCCCAACTTTCCGCAGGCGTCTTCGGCTTCTCCGCAGCTTCCAGGATTTTGGCCGCCAGGCGTGGGCTGGGTAAGTGCGCCCAGCGGCGGTGGGTTCGAATCTCCCCTGACCACCTGGCGCGGGCCGGGTCTGGGGTTCCTAGCTGGCTCTCCCCAGCCTAACTGCCCCTCTTCTGTCACAGGGCAGCGATAAAAATCATCCCTGCCCTCTAGGGTTGCTGTGGAGATACCTGATAGGGCATGCAGTAGGCACTCAATAAACGTTGTTCCTCCCACTTCCTGTGCAGACCTGAGGCTGCAGTCAGGCTTTGGAGGAGTGAGGCCAGCCTGCCATCCAGGGTGCTCTGGGGACGTGTGTTCAGTTCTGCTAGCCTCAGTTTAAAGGCCTGTGGAATGGGGCCAGTGCTGCCATCTGCGGGTTGCCTTGCCAGGAGGCACCGTGATGTTACCGGGTGCATCGGGCACGGAGGGCAAATGGACTTTCTCTTCCTGGCCAGACCCGGGGTGGGATGCGGGGGCTAGAAGCTTGCGGGTGAGGAGTCTGGAGACCACATCCGGTCTGGCTTCCCAGTGTCCGTTTATCTTGGAAACGGTGGTTGACAGCCCGGAGGTGGGAGCGGGCTGGCTCTGGGGTCTTGCAGAACCAGGAGAGGGTCGTCTGCCCACCCCTTTAACCCCTACTCTCCGCACGCACTTGTTTGGAACCTGAGTCCAGAGACATACTGGGAGAGGACACTGCGGGGCCAGGCTCAGCATCTGGACCCGGGGAAGAGATCCGGGAGGGGAGAGAAGAGGAGGAGGGGTCGGGAGCCCCGCGTGGAGTCGGGGACGGGGTATGTTTGTGGGAAACCAGTGCCTCTCTCCGAGTTTCTCTCTGTGTCTCTGTCTCCACTTCTGTCTTTCCTGTCCCTGCTCCACCCCCTTCCCCGCATCCGTCGTCCCTCCCCGGGGTTTTTGTCACCGGCCCCGCACTCCACGGGCGCGGGCGAATCTCTTTACCCCAGGGGCGCACGGCGTTCAGAGGACTCCAGCCGGCCCAGCTCGGCGTCAGAGTGGGGAGGGGGGGAAGGCGGGGCCAGAGGCAAGGCGTGGCAGGGGGGTGGGGGGGCCCGGGGCCAGAGCCCGGGAATCCGGAGCCTGGGCACCCCCACCCCCAGGCCCGGAGGGATGGGGGGCAGGCGGGAAGTGTGCTCAGAGTTCCGCAGGAGGAGGCCCGTGCAGAGCCCTCCCTGGTGCTGGGGACACGGAGACGCCTGAACGCCCAGGGCCGTCCCTGGGGGGGTCACCGGGAGGGCGGGTGTGGAGGCGGCGCCGGCGGTGGCCACAGACACCTCGGGCCTGAGAGCAGTGCTCGCCACACCACCGTGCCGCTGTCCCCATGCTCGCCCCGACAGCGCTTGGCACCCATGCGCTCTGGGACAGCACCCCGGGCAAGGCCCCGGCCCCCTGACCTGACACTGCCCCCCGCGGGCCTTGAGTCCCTGGTCCACTTCTCCTTCAGCGACGAGGACACCCGTTGGCACCCTCCAGGCAGATCTGTCAGGTGGGTGGCGGGCGGCCAGTTTCCTCTTTTACCATCAAGGGCTCTGGCTGGGGGGGAGAGGGTGCCCAGTCTGCCTTGGGGAGTCCCCAGAGTGGCTTCTAGGGTCTGCCTGGAGCCCCACCCACTTTCCTGGCTCTAAAATTCTTGGTGTTGCTAAGAGCTTCCTGCAGGTGATAGCCCTCCAACGGAGTGTTCAGTCCTGCCCCCTTGCTATTTAAGATGGGATCCCTTCACCCTCTTTGTGCCCCTAAACCTGGGTTTCTGGCACTCATCCTGGCAGCAAATATGGGTGTCCAGCGTCACCTGGGCTCCACTCCCAGGCCACCGGCCTGGAGCCAGGTCCCTCTGGCCCTACTCTGCTCAGTGCCTCTAGTCTTCCCCACCCCCTCCTTGCTGGGGCTGCCAGGCTGAAAACCAAGCTGGGGTGGAGGAGGGAGGTTGGCTCCTGCTGGAACTCCTGGAGGTTATTTAGAATCAGCTGGACAGTGCTGGAGCAGAGAAGTTCTCAGCAGTCTTGGGGTACTCCAGGGTTGGTCTTGCTTCTCTCCACCAACCCCTTCCGACACCTGGACACACACAGGCACGCCCACACACAGGGTATTTGGGGTCACCTAGTGTTTACTGTGTAAGGCACGGGTCTCTAGCTGGTGGGGACACAGAGAGACTCTCACGGTTGACCCATGGGTGCAGTGACACACAAACCACAGAAACCCTGGTCTCACACAGTATGGTGCACCACGCTGCCTGCAGGAGTACTCTCACCATGGTACATCCCCACGCCCGATTCCCACCTGTGCCTAGGCATACCCAGGAACATACCTCATCCCCACGGAGGACTCAGGCACAGTCGCAGCCTAGGTGCGGCACCCAGGTGCACTCTTCCAAGGTCACACAGGTTCATAGGCATAGATATTGACACACAGATGCATGCAGGCACCCATGAGCACCCAAACCGCACTGACACACTCGAATGTACAAATCCACACGGAGGCCTCTGTACACCCTGGGACCCCTGAGCACACATACACTGTGACTCACAGGGACACAGACCCTCTGTGCACACCCAGCCCTTACAAACAGCCGTGTCACCTGGCACCACGCGCCTGCCTGGCAGACACACACCAGCGCCCGCCCTCGACCTCTGTGTGACCTTCACAAAGCAAATGCCAGGCCTTTCCATAAAGGCTGCCTGGCACCTCCTACGAGGGAGTCGGGTGGAGTGGGGCAGGGAGCCCAGGGAGATGCCAGGCCTGCCTGGGGGAGAGACAGACACCTGGTGATTTAGCGTACAGGTTTGTAGTCTGGCTGCCCAGGTTGAAATCCTGCTTCTACTACCAGCCAAGTTGTTCGTCCTGTCTGTACCTCAGTTTACTTCTCTTGAAAAAGGGGCATTAGTACGTGTCCAGGCACAGCGCAGTGCCGAATATGTGGCATCTAACAGCAGTTGACTGCTTTCGTTGTTATGATTTTTACCAACTGGGACATGTCTCCTTTCCCTTCTGCTCCCCTTCTGGCTTGTTTGTTGCCCGTCGGCCCCTCGCAGCAGAACTCCCTGAAGCCTTGATCTGCTCCTGGGCTGCGCCGTCCTCCAGAAGCCCAATTCGATGCTTGGGGAGCCCATGTGGGCAGGCCAAGGGGCCCCGGAGGGGTGAAGGCAGGTGGCAGCTTCGCCTGAGGATGCCACCGAGTGGTCAGCCTGTCTGAAGGGGAGTCTTGGGCAGGTTATTTCCCTTATGATGGAGTGTTTGAGCATGTGGCTGTGATGTTAAGGCCTGTTGGCTGCCCTTGACTCCGCTTTATGGCCTTGGGTCCCGTTGGGACATTAATGGAGCAGCCTCCAGCCCGACTTTGTTCCACCCTGAGCAGCAGCAGGTCAGGGAAGGGTGACTCCACATAGCCCCAGGGTGCAATTCTGGAGGGCAGCTGAGACCTCCCCACCCCTGACCCCCCCACACACACACACACAAACACTCTCACTCAGCCTGTAGTTCCCCAGGCCTCATCCCCTCCCCTCTGCCCTTCCGCAGCCCAGGGGACAGCGGCTCCTGGAAGCACAAACAGCAGGGCCCCAGGAGCCTCTTTCCGTCATGGCCTCTGGGCTCCCTGCGGCTGCAGCATCGGTCAGCTGTGCTGGTTGGGCTCCCTCTGGGACTTGGGTCTCACCTTCCCTAACCTGGCTTCAGTGTCTGGGGCAAGGGTGGAGTCCTGAGTATGTAGGTATGCTCCTCTCCCCTTCCCAGGGGCACTAAGCAGCGCCAAAACATCTAGGCTGTGCCTTGGGAAGCAGGACATAGTTCTCGGGCAGTGAGGCCACCAACCCCTTGCCACCCCTCTGTGCCTCACTCTCCTTGTTGAGCTGGGATGTTAACACAACTCACAGAGATAGCGGGAGACATAACTGGGTTCCTGTGCATAAAGCACTGGGACAGTGCCAGGCACACGGCAAATATACAGTGTAAGTGTCTTGTTATTATTGCTTTATACCTAAAAGGATCTAACCTAGCATCTAGTACACAGCAGATGCTCAGTAAAGGGGCATTATCACCAAAGGCCCAAGCTCACAATCGAAGAATACTCCATCTTAAGAGTTTCTTTCTTTCTTTTCTTTTTTTTTTTTTTAAAGTAGGCTGCACACTCAGCGTGGAGCCCAACATGGGGCTTGAACTCACAACCCTGAGATATCAAGTCAGATGCTTAATTGACTGAGCCATCCAGGCGCCCCTTAAGAGCTTTTTTTTTTTAATTTACTTTAAACAATTAACATATAGTAAAATTCACCCTTTTTAGTATACACTGTATGAGGGTTTTTTATTGTAGGAAAATATACATAACATACAATTACCCTTTTTAATCACTCATGGAGTGTACAATTCAGTGTCATTAAGTACACTCACATTGTTATGCAACTATCACCACCATCCGTCTCCAGAACTTTCTCATCTTCCCAAACTGCAACTCTGTCCCCATGAAGCATTAATTTCTCACCCTTTCCCAACCCTTGGCTCCCACCATTCTACTTTGTCTCTATGAATAAGACTACTGTAGGGACCTCATATTAAGTGGAATTTTACAATATTTGCCCTTTTGTGTCTGGCTTATTTCATTTAGCATAACATTTTCAAAGTTCATCCATGCAGTGGCATGTGTCAGAATTTCACTTTATTTTTAAGACCGAATACTCTTCCGTTGGTAATATACACCACATTTCCTTTATCTGTTCACCAATTCATGGACCCTTGACTTGTTTCCAGCTTTTGGCTATTGTGAATAATGCTGCTGTGAACATTGGTTTACAAATATCTCTTTGAGTCTTGCTTTCAATTCTTGAGTACTGAGTATTTCATTTTTTTTTAAAGATTTTATCTATTTTTATTTTGTGAGAGAGAGCGAGAGAGAGCACCAGCGGGGTTAGGGGCAGAGGGAGAGGGAGAAGCAGGCCCCCCATGAAGCAGGGAGCCAGATGCAGGGCTTAACTGACTGAGCCACCCAGGCACTCCTCCTAAAGATTTTATTTTATTTTTTATTTTTTATTTTTTTTTTAAAGATTTTATTTATTTATTTGAGAGAGAGAGAATGAGAGATAGAGAGCACGAGAGGGAAGAGGGTCAGAGGGAGAAGCAGACTCCCTGCTGAGCAGGGAGCCCGATGCGGGACTCGATCCCGGGACTCCAGGATCATGACCTGAGCCGAAGGCAGTCGCTTAACCAACTGAGCCACCCAGGCGCCCTAAAGATTTTATTTTTAAGTAATCTCTACACCCAATGTGGGGCTTGAACTTATAACCCCAAGATCAAGAGTCACACGCTCTACTGACTCAGCCAGCCAGGAGCCCTTATTTTAAAAAAAATATTAGCCATTCTAGTGAGTGTGTGGTGATATCACATTGTGCCTTTGATTAGCATTTCCCTAATGACTAATGGTGTCGAGCATCTTCTTGTGTGCTTATTGTCCATCTGTATGCACACCTACCTTATTTATTGTGCTTCGCTTTATTGCACTTCACAAATATTGTGGTTTTTACACATTGAAGGTTTGTGGCAAGCCTGCGTCAAGCAAGTCTGTCAGTGTCATTTCCCCAACAGCATCTGCTCACCTCGTGTCTCTGTGTCACATTTTGGTAATTCTTGCAATTTTTCAAACTTTTTCATTAGTATTATATTTGTTATGGCAAACTGTGACTAAAACTCACTGAAAGCTCAGATGATGGTTAGCATTTTTTAGCAATAAAGTATTTTTCAATTAAGGTTATGAACTTTTTAGATATAATGCTACTGCACATTTAGTAGACCACAGTGTAGTGTAAAACTTAAGTTTTATATGCATGGGAAATAGAAAAAAATCCATCTGACATGCTTTATTGCAGTGTTCCGGAAACAAGCCTGCAATATCGCCGAGGTATGCCTGTATCTTCTTTGGAGAAATTTTTATTTCATTCCTTTGCCCCACTTTTTAACTGGGTTGTTTGTTTTTTGTTGTTGCTAAGTTTTAGATCTTTATATATTCTAGATATTAATCCCTTATTAGATACGTGATTTGCAAAAATTTTCTACTGTTCTATGGATTGCCTTTTCACTCTCTGGATAGTGCCCTTTGATGGAAAAAAAACTGGTAATTTTGATGAGGTGCAATTTCTTTTTTTTTAAGATTTTATTTATTTATTTGACACAGAGAGAGCACAAGCAGAGGGAGCAGGAGAGGGAGAAGTAGACTTCCGCTGAGCAGGGAGCCTGATGTGGGACTTGATCCCAAGACCCTGGGATCATGACCTGAGCCAAAGGCAGGCACTTAACTGACTGAGCTACCTGGGCGTCCCTATTTTTTGTTGCTTGTGCTTTTGGTGTCATATCCAAGGAATCATTGCCAAGTCCAATGTCATGAATCTAAGAGTTTTAGTTTTTTGTTCTTCCGTTTAGGTCTTTGATCCATTTTGAGTTAATTTTGTATATGGTGTGAGGTGCAGATCCAACTTTATCCTTTTGCATGTGAATAACCAGTTTTCC